TAACTATAAATACACGTTGATGGGGTACGAACTTACAGAGACTGACCAAGAGAGAGATCTTGGAGTCGTAATAGATAACTCACTGAAAATGTCGAGACAGTGTGTGGCTGCAATAAAAAAGGCCAACACTACGCTGGAAATTATTAAGAGGGGAATTCAAAACAAATCAGCCAGTATCATAATGTCCCTGTAAAACCTCATTTGGAATACTGTGTACAGTTCTGGTCACCACACCTCAAAAAGGATATTATAGCATTGGAAAAAGTGCAGAAAATGGCAACTGGAATGATAAAAGGGTTGGAACACTTTTCACATGAAGAAAGGTTAAAGCGCTTGGGGCTCTTTAGGTTGGAGAAACAATGGCTGAGGGGTGACATGATTGAGGTTTATAAGATTATGCATGGGATAGAGCAGGTAGAGAAAGAAGTACTTTTCTCCCTTTCTCACAATACACAACACTCATGGACACTCAATGAAATTGCTGAGCAGTCGGGTTAGAACAGATAAAAGTACTTCTTCACCCAAAGAGCAATTAACACTTGGAATTCACTGCCACAGGAGGTGGTGGTGGCTACAAGCATGGACGGCTTCAAGAGTGAAGCACCAGTTTTTACTGTATTTAAAAAACGTATTTTATTGTTTTAGTATTTGTATGCTGTTAGCCGCCCTGAGCCACTGGGTAGGGCGGGATAGAAATCCCATAATAAATAAATAAATAAAATAAGAGGAAATTGTATAAACATATGGAGCAGAGGTCCATCAGTGGCTATTAGCCACAAGGTATAGATAGGAGCTCACAGGCTGGGGCAAGTGATGCACTGTATTCGTGATGCTTGGGGGTGGGGGCAACCGTGGAAGGGCTCCTAGTGTCCTGGTCCCACTGCTGGACCTCCTGATGGCACCTGGTATTTTTGGCCACTGTGTGACAGAATGTTGGACGGGATGGGGCATTGGCCTGATCCAACATTGGCTTCTCTTATGTTCTTATGACAAGATTAATCCTTCCCCAAGGATAAGTGGTTTGCATGATGCGTATGTGGCAAGAACATGAAGCTGGTAAAGTTATGAATAAGGCTTATTTAGTATTTCCCACCCTTCATCCTGTAGGCATAGCCCTCAGCAAAAAAAGAATCACATCCGCAGTCTACTGGCACCTTGAAGGTGCTCTGTGCCACAAAGATCTCCATGTGAAGGCAGAGATTCTACACATTTGTATCATGTTCTTGGCCCAAGGAATTCAGAGCAGCGATTCAAAAGCTTCGGCAAGTAGATAAATTGGGGACCACCCGTAAGGGGGTGGGCACACCACTCCCCTTGGGAGGTGTTAGCTGCCAAGTGTGACATCTGCTGCGCAAAAGATCAAAAGTGGAA